TAATTTATTCCTAAAAATAGGAGGGATATAAATTCTATTTTTAAAATAAAATATACCATCCTTTTTTGTTAATATAGGTGTGTTGGGAAGTTCAAGATCCTTTTGATTCAAATTCTTTATGTCATCATGAAGAGAGGAAAGGATTCCAATTGTTTTGTTAGGAGGATAATCATCAATAGAAGTTTTGTGAGGAATTCGGGAGAGGGCGTCAGCCTTTTGATTTCTAGTTCCAGGTCTGTATACTAATTGAAAGTTAAAGCGGTTAAAAAAGAGGTTCCATCTAACTTGTCTAGCTGTAAGGGTTTTGTTAGTATATAGATATTCAAGATTTTTATGATCAGTATAAACAACTATAGGGTGTTTTGTATCTTCAAGAAGATGACGCCAATTTTCAAAGGCAGCTTTAACACTTAACAATTCTTTTTCACCAATAGGATAATTTTTCTCAGCAGAGCTCAAGGATCTTGAAAAGAAGGCAACTGGATGAAGTGGATCTTGAGGTGTCTTTTGTTGAGAGAGAACTGCTCCCATAGCTGTATCTGATGCATCTACTTCAAGAACATATAAGAATGTTGGATTAGGTAGTTGCAGAATAGGTGCAGTTGTAAATCTTTTTTTTAATTCAGTGAAGGCTTTTTGTGCATCTTTATTCCAATTAAAAGGACGTTTACTACTGTTAAGGAGATTAAGTGAATGTGATACATCTGAGTAGTTTCTAATAAATTTTCTATAGAAATTTGCAAATCCAAGAAATCGTTGTAATTCTTTTGTAGTAGTAGGAACGGGCCAGTTAATAATACATTCAATTTTGGAGTTATCCATTTTTAAAGAATGAGGTGAAATAATGTATCCTAGAAAAGATAATTCAGTAACCTCAAAAAGGCATTTCTCGGATTTAGCGTATAATTTGTGAGTTCTCAATCTAGATAGAACCCATCTTACATGCTTCCTATGTTCATCCAAATTGTTAGAATATATTAAGATATCATCTAAATAGATAATAACACATACATCCAAAAGATCTCTAAAGATATCATTTATAAAATGTTGAAATGTTGCAGGGGCATTACAAAGCCCAAAAGGCATCACAAGATATTCGTAGAGACCATATCTTGTTCGGAAAGCGGTCTTCCATTCATCGTCCTGTTTTATTCTAATGAGGTTATAAGCGCCTCGAAGGTCGAGTTTAGTGAATATAGTTGCGGTTCTTAATCTTTCAATTAATTCATTTATTAGCGGAAGAGGATAACGGTTTTTGATTGTTATTTTATTTAAGGCTCTGTAATCTATAATGGGACGGATGGTTTGGTCTTTATTCCTCACGAAGAATATACTAGAAGCAGCCGGGGAAGTCGAGGGTCTGATGAACCCTTTGCGTAAATTTTCATTAACATATTCTTTTAATGTTTCTAATTCTTTTTCAGAAAGTGGGTAAATGTGGCCATAAGGAATAGGAGCTCCGGGTATTAGATCTATTGGGCAATCATATACCCGATGAGGTGGAAGTGTTTCTGCTTCTTTTTTACAAAAGACATCTGCAAAATCTGAGTAGAATGTAGGTATAACTGGTTCTTTAGTAATTTGGAGAATAGGAACATGTTTTAAGCACGTTTTCTTACAAAAATCAGAGGAGAAAGAAATGGTGAAGGGGGACCATTTAATTAGAGGATTATGGGTTTTTAACCAATTAATTCCTAGAATGACGGGATAAAGTGGAGATTTAATAACATCAAATGAAAGGAATTCGGTATGAACGTTGTTGGTAATCATTCTTAGAGGAATTGTCTCATCTTTTATGGGTCCTGAGGATATAAATGAACCATCAATAACTCTGATTGGAACAAAGTTAGTTTTTCGAACACAAGGAATTTTATTTTTTGTAACAAAGGAAAAATCAAGGAAGGTTCCATTGGCACCAGAATCAATTATAGCCTCAGTCACGATTCTTTTTGTATCCCACTGTAATATGAGAGATATAGAAAAATAAGTAGATGTTTTTCTTTTTTGAAGAACGTTCAATATTGAAGTAGATGAATGATGCTTATCACCTTTTGAATGTTTCAGTAGAGGACAATCGGGAATTAGATGTTCTTTCGAGGCACAATACATACATAGGTTTAATTGTCTCCTTCTTATTCTTTCTTCAGAAGTAAGAGGACTTCTTATTATACCTACATCCATAGGTTCAGTTTGAGGAGGAATTTTTTCAGGAATTTTTGGAGGAGTGAAAGGTTTTCTCAAGGTAGAATTAGTAAGAACTTTTTCAGCCCTTCTTTCTCTTAGACATCTATCAATACTAATGGAAAGTTGAATCAATGCATTTAAGGTGGGAGGAAGTTCAGTACGAGAGAGTTCATCTTTCACAGCTTCTGATAATCCGAGACGGAATTGATTGCGTAAAGTAATGTCATTCCATTGGGTTTCTGTAGCCCATCTTTTGAATTCTGCAATATAATCTTCAACAGGTCTATTCTTTTGGTGGAGAGTTCTGATGGTTAAATCAGCAGTAGCCTGTTTATAAGGATCTTCATATAATAAAGACATAGCTTCAAAGAACTCATCCAATGAATCTAATATGGGATCATCATTCTCTAAAAAGGAATGGGCCCATGCCATAGGTTCACCTCTTAAAAAAGAGATCACTGAACAAACTTTTGATCTTTCAGTGAGATAAGATCTAGGTTTTAAAGCTATTAGGAGTTTGCAAGAATTCAAAAACTCTCTGTACTTTGTTCTATCTCCATAAAATTTTTCAGGATTACAGACAGCAGGATCGCCAGCCGATTGAAGAGCGGCATGAGGAAGATGACCTTGCATGTCTCTAACATAGGTTAATATTCTCTCATTTGTAATTTGCAGTTCCTGTAACCCTTGAGCAATCGTATCCACTCTATTGGTTAGGGCAGAAACTTGAGAGTTAATATCTGCTGGTTCCATTGATAGGCTGGATTATTCTGTAACACTTATTTTAATTGGAACTCAACCGCAGAATTTTCTAATTGCAGTACTATATGTTTCACCTCCTTTTATATTGGAATGAAGGAGTAGTTACTGTCACTTTAATTACACATGAAGGATGTTAATTGTGAGTAAACTATAAGAATCTGTTGATTTGCACAAGCCACTTAATTCCTTTTTTTGGAAATAATGCAGAGTTAGATTCCAGAATAATTCAAGAAGGAATTTTTATAATAAGGACTATTAATGAAGCTGGAGAAGTTGTAATTATAATTGAGTTGATTATTGGAGGAAGAGTTAGCGTTATTAACAGATCCTTATGAAAAAGGAGAATAAATTGAGAGAATGACACAGTTAACTGTATATGATTTGTAACAGAGAATGGCTTGATTGGAGAAAAGTTACTTAACTTAAAAGGCAGTTTCTGGAACTGAAGGGTTAATTTCACCCGATGGGTTGAGAAGGTAGAAGTCCGTTTAGCAAGCCGTGGTCTAGGAGTGGAGAGGGTGGAAGTCCGTTTTACCAAGCCGGGTCTGGGAGTGGAGAAGGTAGGAGTCCGTTTTAGTGAGCCGAGGTAAGGAGTGGAGAAGGTAGAAGTCCGTTTTTAGCAAGCCGAGGTCTGATACAGGCAGGAACGGAGTAAGCAGCTGATCACTTTTTCCGGTACCTGTGCAATAATCCAGCGTTTTGAATCTGGCGCGGTCTCCCTAAGTATCGTGGAGGGACCGCGTCAGAGAAAGGGGCGGAGCTAAGCGCCGTGAACCCGGAAGTGGGTTCTTACAGCGGAATGTATGTCAGGCTATTCCTGACACCTAACTTGCCATTAATTTCCCCTTCTACACGATTCACTGTTATGTATCATTTATTTTACGTGATGTATTTAGGTTAGGGTTAGTGTAGGCATTAATGTTATGTGTTAGAGTAGAATAGAGGCTCATATATACAGATAGTGAATAATTAATGTTTAGTGGCAACCAGTGTTTAGTGTCTAAAGCCAACCATCTTGCACAAAAGTGATCCATGCATTATTACCTGTTCATCATGGAAATAAATTCTTAATCTGTCAACTGAAATAATAGGCAGACACTGATATATATTTATCAGGGTGGGCCCATGGCAGTTACATTGTTGTAACCCTAGGCCTAGGCCTAGGCCTAGAAGACATCAAAACCAAAGCTTCACTTCCACTTTGAACAGAAGCAGGCAGCTGAAAAGTGTTACCAATAAGATATTTTTTTTTTTATTATTCTTTATTTTTGTTATGCAGGTGAGTACAAGGCGCATACATACGCCACAACAGAGTATATTTATGGTTAAACATAGGTTAAACTGTGGCATGGAAAAATTTGCACATTTTTGTTTTAAATAACAAAGTAATCTAGGCACACATGTTCAAGTGATAACAATCCGTATGAGATCGAACGTGCTTGCAGCATCCTGACCGCCTTGGTATTTAGAGATTGTACTTAAGAATAATACAGTAACATGGTATAAACAGTTGCACCAGTCTGCGATCCTGTGCCATGATGACTAATGTATTTAGATAATCAGGCATTAACTATAGCAATAACAAGCTATTGAATAAACTGTCACATTTTTGTCATGAGTGACTTCATAGACATGTCCTAGGAGGACAAAGCCATAGCTCTTAGTCTGCACTTTTTTGTTACTTATGCACCAAGTGCCACTGCTGGTGTGTGGAAGAATAACAGGGTGAAACTGGGGGTTAAGTACGGTTTGCATAACCTGGATTAGATAAAGGGACCTATGCCTATATGTACATGCTCGGGGACGATGCCATTGTATGCTGAGTGGATGAAACCGCTAAGCTATGCAGAGAGTGGATGTACATTTATAAGCTCTATGTTGGTTGTCAGTGAGGGGACACATAAGATGCACATTAAAATTAAGATCCAGACAGGGATGACAAAGTGGAATGTAAGTGGTTAACCTGGAATACTCTTGAACTGGGGATTACTAAAGAGCATGTTAAGCTTGCATTCAGCTACCATAGTTATGGCATGTAGTGCTTGACTTGGTTGTCAGCCTATCCCCATCATAGTGAATTTACTGTCCCACAGAGCATGGGCTTGCAAACCCACAGCCGGAGGTGGTAGCTGCTGATCTCGCTTGTGCAGGTGCCTTTCTCCCTTCTCCTCGGCTCTCTGCTTGTCGTTCATGTGTTTCAAGGGGCTGTATGGCTGTGGAGCTCCACGGCTCACCGCTTGTCTGCTCATTGCCTTTCGTTGCGCGGCTTGTTTTGCGGCACGTGGGCGCTTCCTCCGCCGTCTCAGGCGTAGCGGGCCTCTGGCGAGTGCTGTCGGGCTGCTTGGTGTGTGACAGGTAGGTCGCATAGGAGTTATCACGGTCTCGTGTAGTGTCTGCTTGGCCCTTAGCTTCTCCCAAAATGCTTCGATGAGGGCATCCAGGCGCTGGAGAGTAGTGGATACCACTCCTCCTTGGGTGAGGGCCACCGCGGCGTCCGCCATCTTAGGGAGACCTTTGGCGGTAATGTCGGCTTCTAAGGTACTGCCGTGGCTCCTTGGTGGGTCACGAGAGCCTGCCGGGTGGGGACCGGGATAACCCCCACCGGTCCAAAGGGGGGGGCAGCGGGGTATCAGTAGCTCGCTTGGGGCTCCGGCAGCGCCTGTCCGAGAGAGCGGCCGCCTCTCCCCCCCAGGGCGCCCACTAGGCCCCATTGCATCTTGGCTACCAGATCGCTTGAGAGGGCTGCAGGGTGTGTTCCTCGGTCCCTCTGTCATGTCGTAGGATTGAGAGGGGGTATCAGGCTTAGGTATAGTCGCTGGATTAGCTCGGGATCTCAGTTTGTACATTACGTTCCAGGGAGCTCCCCAGAAACACGTCTAGTCGCCATGCTGGTCAGGCCCCGCCCCCCTACCAATAAGATTTTTAAAAAGTGTCTCTTTAACAACTGTTGGTTTGCTTGCTAGCTAACTTCTCATTTAAAGTAATACTCCCTGCTTAACTCCTGAATTCATTACCTGGTCTACATTCATTATGCTAACACAATTTTGAATGCTTAGATAAAATACCTGTTCATAAGCTTGAAGTAACAATTAAGCATGTTAGTGATTATCACATAGAGACAGGTACCTCCGTACTAGCTTGTTTCATATTACTTGCATAGGCCATGATAGACCGTGTTTAAATAACTTTTGCAAACAAAATCTTGATTGAATAATCTGTACATTTCATAATATAAAAAATTGTGCATGCCATATAGAATACTATGCTGAGCCTGAGGATTGCCTTTGGGGCACTTCGGGCCTGTTTGTAACTCTCTATTGCACTGCAAAAAATATATAAAAATAATAATAATCTTTAAAAAGTGTCTTTTTAAATCAGCACTTTTGTAAAAATAAAAAAGGAAAACACAAAGGGAACATTCTCTGAACCCCTAAAGCACTAAAGCAGCTGAAGTGCTTTGGTGATTTAAAGAGTTCCTTTAATCAGCAGCTCATCATAGATTTAATAATGGGTATTTTGGCAGGGACCAGGAACCTTGCAAAACCCATTTGTTTATTTCAAGTGGCTTTCGTCTAAATTCACTTAAATCAGTACCTGGGCTGATTATCTTGATTGTTGTCCATTAATATACATGATGCAGCAACATATGCAACATAAATTAACACTAACACTATAGTGTCAGGAATGCAAACTTGTATTCCTGACACTATAGTGTTAAACTAACTATTTAGGTCTTCACCCCCCTTAGATTGTATGGGAAAGGTGAATTTATTTACCTCTTTTCCCACGCTGGGCCAGTCTCGTCATGGTTGGTACCCCTGGCTATGCCTCCATGGCAGTGATAATCAATCATGATGTTATGAGCCAATCCAATGCTTTTCCATAGGAAAGCATTGGGAAGCTATTGCACATATGCAGGATAATGCCGCACTGCACCAATCAGCATCTCCTCATAGAGATGCACTGAATTAGTTCAACTCTATGGAGAATGTTCAGTGCCTGCACACAGTGCAGCACTGAACTAGGAAGCACCTCTAGTGGCCGTCTGAGTGACTGCCACTAAAGGTGTAACTAGACAACAATGTAAACACAGTTTTGTTCTCTGAAAATGCAGCATTTGCACTGAAAAGCTTGCATGGACAAGCTATAGACGCCAGAACCACTTCATTAAGCTGTAGTGATTTTGGTGCCTATAGTGTCCCTTTAAGTAAATAAACTCCAAGGTGTAAAATAAAAACAAAGAGAAAGAGTATGATAAAACAGGCAATAAAGAACAATATTACTTTTAATGTAAATTTATTTCTTAATGATTAATATGCAAGATGTTAATTTCTTAAGTTAAAAGTAGTGAAATAGTGGGCTACTGCTGGAATTTAATTGTATCTAATTGTTAAATAACCAGCTAATTTGTGACTAATTATTGAGTATTCAGATGCAAATAGCTTTCAGTTCTCTGAAATCACCTGCAGACTCCAAGCTCCTCTACAGCCAGCATACACAGAAATTCAGTACATATTGACAATATATATATATATATATATATATATATATATATCAGATATAGTAAATACATATACATTGCGATTATATATGCTGTGCGTTAGATGTCCATAGGGTTCATTGTTTGACAGTAGTGATTTTGGCAGTGTATCAAATTACTTTTCACAACCCCCACTCAGGCAAAGAAACCTGTAGTTTCTGGGGCCTTAAGGGTATAAAAGTGAAATAAGGCGCACTGTATGCCTGCCAGCAGGGGTTGTGTAACAGGCATGATCCTGTACTTTTTAAAGTTCAGGCTTCAAAGCCGAACATAGGAGAGATGACACTGTCACTCCAACACAGCATTTCTGTCTACCTGCACAGACAAGACGAACGAACAGTGTCTGCAGATCAATTACCTAAAATCACTCTGACAGCGCCAATCACGCTAGCTAAATTCCTTGCTACAAGCCTGAAACCAGCTTTTCAAACTGTTCCTCAATAGAAAGACGATTCAAAACACTGAGATATAGCAAAGGATGACATTACAAAACACGAAGAATTTTTGAAATTCTCTCTTTCAGCCTTTGTGCGTGCAAAAATTCCAAGTCTTTGTTTTCATTTTATCCATTCAGTTCAGCAAAGAACCCTTTCTAGAATTACAACCATAACACGAACATTACTGTTTATATAGAACTTGCCAGACATTACAAATATTTCGATTTTTGCAAAAAAAGAAAAAAAAAAACGTACATAAATGAATCGTGAGACTTCTTTGATTGCAATACTCATAGTTTCCTTAGAATTCTAAGCCGGCTCGTTCAGACTCCGATCTATTTTAATATTGGCTAATTACAAAGGTTCACTTACAAAGCAAAATAAAATGCTGACCTATACAATCCATTATTCTCCATCTACAGTGATCCACCTGAGGAGAAGCTACTTTAAAACAAAGTGCTACGTTTTGCTTAGACTACAGAAATAGCTTTGGCTTTTTAGAAGGAAAATCTGATCTGCAGCATCCACTACTAAAAGGGTGTCGATCAGTTCTGCTGAATGTACTATCAATCAACGCCCACAGTACTGCAATAGTGTACAGCTGGGAGACTAAACTAGCTGCAGTGTAATACTTTCTTGTAATGTCAACACATACAGCATTAATGAACGTTAGTTTCAATCGTACTTAAATGTTTTTAGTCTGCCCATTTTGCCAAGACACTGTGGGTGACCAATAAATAATGCTGGTGCATCCATCTTTAAGCATGAATTCTTTGATTGTTTTATTTTTTTTCAGTCCAATATTTATAGCAATACTGGAGTGGATTACATACAGGTTATATGTATATTGAAAAATTTGGATAACAGAATATACCAGATGATGTAGAATTGTAGCTCAAATAAAAAAATATGGTGCACATTTCACGATTATTTTTGTCTAGAAAAAAAAATTCTTAAATTATAATGAGATTACTTTTATATTTTGGGGAGTTTCAAAAAGAGCAAGCCTTTAAGGTTAGTGTGTCACGTTTCAATTTTTAACACATCTGGACGCAATCCTGCAATTAGGAGAGAGAGCTTCAACAGATGGCCCCATTTAAGCTAACTCCCACATCTGAATGTTAACCATCTGATGAGAGTAAGTTCTACCCCTTTAAGTGTGCTGCCCCCAGTTGGAATGTTTTTATGGCATCTGAATACCATCTTGTCATCAGAACACATTTTTTAGAAGGGGCACCCCTTTATACACAATGCCCAAAAATCTGAATTTTTAATGCATTTGAATACTATCCTGCAATAAGAACAGTTTCATAAAAGTGATCTGTTGACCCCAAACTCAAATCTTTATCATATTTAAATACCAATCTGTAACCTATTGCATATTTGAATAAAAGAAGCTAATATGCGTTAAAAGCTCCTTTCCTGTCTATTAAAGGGCTGCTAAAGGTGCCCAACCCCTCAATGAAGAGGTCTGGGTGCAATGGTCCTTTAGTTTTAACCCTGCAATGTAAAGCATTGGTGTTTTGTCCATATGTTGTCTCTTCCCATTTAGGAGAGAGTAATCTCTTATATAAAGATTTTAACAAATTGATACATTTTATGCAAAGGGTTACCCATCTCTAATTTACTCAATAGTGTTTTGTTCTTTTGTTTACATTTTGCATTATAATTAGTTAGAAAATGTTCATGAAATTTAAAAATTGTACTGAGCTATTTTTGAATGGATTCGCATTGTAACTTATGGTATAAAGGAAATATGGAATTTTAGGCAGGGTAAAACAACAAAATTAAAATGTATAGATCCTCTGATCTTGGGAATAATGTTTTTGTAGTGTAACAGGTTAAAATACATCATCCAATTACAAAATTAACCATAAAATTAATTTCAGGTTCCATGGGAACCATGTCAAAGCAGCAGAGTACAGATGCATCTTCTCTCGAGTCATTTAACTTGTTTTCCATATAAACCTTACATTCCCCCTCTTTAAGAACCATTTTTGTAATCCAGTCATCCAGCTGACTCTGGAAACTCATAAAGCCTTAAAGCAAATGTGCTGCCTCGCTGCCAAATTTTAACAGCAAGAACAAATGGGAAGCACATAAAAGTATAAACTGCGTTTGGTACATATATTTTTTTGTCTCAAAATGTGCACATCAAAAGGAATTCTCCCTAGATATTCTTTCCCAATATTTACCTGGAATTGCATACTGATTGTCCTTTATTTTTTATAACGCCTTCTTTTTGTGCTGGTAGAGAACTGTTTGTGCTTGTTTGTCTCTAAATACTCCAAGGACAAAGTGTAAACTAATAATTAGTATAAAGTGTGATTTGGAGAGAGAGTTGGGAGACAGGCATAGCACATGCCAATGTCTTTCTATTGTCTTAGATACAATAGTAAGTCTTGGTTTAGGCATTGTCATTGTCACAGAGTATATTCTTGTTTAATTATTACTTTATGGCTGCATTCAGCCACATAATACTTGTCTTTTCTTATTTAGAATCTAAACAGTACTAGATAACATG